ACTCCCCCCCTTCCTAAACAACTAAATGCCATGTTGCTATATCATTTTTTGATTGGTCCACAGAGTACATTTTTCCACCAATAGGAAAGGGTGGAGGGGTGTGTGTGTTTTTGCTCACAGGCGGAGAGTGCTTTTGAGGTTTTCCTTATAAAACGCTGTTTTTACGGTTTCTTCCCGCAGTAAATATAAACAACAATAGTATTCAGGAAAAAAACAAACATTGCATATATTTTTATCATAACTCTGGTTTTACGTGGCCCATCAACACAATTTAAAAACTGGTATAGTTTTTAAATTGTGGCATAGTCCACACTTTTTCCGTCAGTTGTTCCGTCTGTCCTGCTCACATCTCCAATGGTTGTACACGTTGTCATGAACGTGGCTTCACTCCACATCAGCCACGCCGCTTTGCTAGCTAAAACACCGGTGTCAGCACATAAGGACGCTGCCATAGCCTGTCAATGACGTTGATTAGCTGCGTACATACGAATGTGAATCACATCAGCGGCTGGACTATGGGATAAGGTGGCATCGTCTAATCCCATACTGGAGCAGCCAGTCACTTACTGACTAACACTGGAAAACAGAATTGTTAACTTATTTATTTTAATTTCAATTCAGGTTAGATTTTTTTTCTATGTGCGCAACACAGATTTTCTGTGCACAGAGACCATGCCAACACTGCGCAATTGAGCATGCACGCAGCTTAGAGCGAACATTGGTTACAACTGATTTAAAGTGTGGGGGATTCATATATAGAAGAGTAGAAAAATCCAAATACAAGTAAAAGATATCATGAATATTTTGAGACAACATAGACTTTTTAAATTTAGTTTTGACTGAGTGAAGAAGTTGTTAAAGTAAAAGCTAAACTAACCTTTGGTTAATGCTGAATATTCTGTTGTTATGGCAACCTTTTTGTTCACCATTTTGCATGCTAACCTAGCTAGCAACCTACCTAGCTAGCTAGCCCTTATTTAAAACTGACCTTCTAGAAAGTGTTACTACTCCGCAGACTTCTTGGTGACACCTCCAGGAAGTAACTTTGGGTTAATGAGACACTTCTAAATCTGTCTGAAGGTATGGAGGTTTTGCACACACGTGTCCATCTGATGCTAACTGCTCTGCCAATTTGAAGGTCTGTCAATTATCATGATATGTACAGTCAAGTGATTAAGAATATGCTGACTTCTTTACAAACACTTGCAAACTATTCTCTGAGGATACTAAAACTGTGAGACCCTTGGCCTTCAAAATAAAAGTTGCACTATTTGAAACACTGAGGCACAACTTTTAGTTTGAAGGTGAGCAGTCTCCCATTTCCATTGCACTTTTTCAAGTTTTACTCAAACTTGGTTAGTAGAGAAGTTAGAGTAGATCTTAGGTAGATAGTAAGTGCATCTAATTAATCTAATTTTGAATCTTATTAAGAATTTTGGTGATTTTAGCCCCAAAGAGGTTTTTTTTTAACCCTTAAGGTTATATTTCTGGTCAAGTGCAAAGTAATTAATTTTTTTAGTTTAATTTTAGTTTTAGTTATACAGCGCCAAATCACAGTTTCCTTGAGGCACTTTATACTGTAAGGTAAAGACCCTAAAATAATGCAGAGGAAACAAGGGAACCCCCAACAATCAGGTGACCCCATATGAGCAAGCACTTTGGCGACTGTGGGAAGAAAAAACTCCCTTTTAACAGGAAGAAATCTCCAGCAGAATAAGGCTCAGGGCGTGAACAGTTGGGGGTGAAAGAAGGAAGATGGGACATAAAATACACTGTGAAGGAGAGCCACAGATTAATAATAACAAATGATTAAGTGAGTCAAAAAGGTGAGTGAAGAAGAAAAAAATAACAAAACAATGAAAATGTTTCTTGCTCTTTGTACTAAAACACTTATAAATATAATAAATATAACACATGCTACTGTAACCCAAAACAGCAGTAAGCACACTTATACTGCAACCTTAGTATTATTATACATATTACAACACAGGTCCTGTAGTTGTAATATGTAGATGGACAACTCAAATGATGCCTAAATTAATCAAATTATTAATTTAGCAGATGAACCAATAATATTGTCTTGCTTTTGTTTTGGCTTTGTGTTGTTCACTACATATGCACACTGAGACGTGCTCTGCAGTACCATCAGTGAACACTGGGAAACATCTGTATTAAGACTAAACTCTGTTTCCAGCTTGCTGTGATTTATATTCATCCCTCCTTGTGATGTGATCTCAGAACTAATCTGGAATTTATTTATTTCTGTTACTTCCCTTCTTCCGTCTTCTCTTTTTCTTCTTGTCTCTGGGTGTTTATGAAACAGATTTCCCAAGAGCATTTCTATTTTTATTGTTTGCAAAAGTGAAGACATTTTCAGCTTAAGCGGTTACTTCTTTGTCCTTGTATGTCCTATCTGAGAAAGAGACGATCTCATGTCCAAAATCACACCCTATTTATTATACAGTGCATTATTTCTACCTTACACTGATTTCAGCATAAGTAGAATAATCTATCTTACTTCATCTCTTTCACATTTAAATATCATTTTTTGTGTGTGGTTGGTCTAATATTATTGTCTCTGTCTCACAACTGCTTCTGGGAAAACCATCAAATGGCAAATAGCTGTAAAACTTTATTGGTGATTAATTGCACTGCCTACCTCCCAGGCATAAGAGGGGCTTTGTGCTAAAGCCCTGGAGGTCTGGTGATGATTAATAATCAGATAACCTCTTGTCCCAGCCTCCACAGGCCAGTGGAGGATGAACCGGAGCAAAGTCGGGGTCTCTGCAGCTATGGTCAGACGACTTCCTGTTGTTTTGGATGGAAGAATGTTAACAGCATTTGTGAGCGTAAGTCGTTCTGCAGTTCAGTAATACAACAGCCCCAATTATCCAGCTCCTGAGGTCACTTATGAGCTCAGGAAAGAAAGAAATGTGAGATATTATGACACATACTTTATAATAAGCTGTAACAACCTGAAAGACAGTATTGCTCTTGAGACATTTTTCTGATATTAATTAAATGTGTATATTTTGTATATTTACATTTAAAGCTGTATGCAAAATGTAAAATGTATGCTGAGAGTTAACTATTCCCCTTGGTTTTATGAGGTGCTTCAGTTTCTTTCAGCACATAATTTATGGCTCAATTAGTCTAGTATTATTAGCTCTGTTTCAAGATGCAGGAAAAAACACCTCACAATTCATTCCGATAATTTTATCAGCAGTCACATCACCAATAAACACTAGTGACTCGCCTCCACTGGCAGTCATACATGCCTATGCTGATGATGATGTTATATGCTTTGGCATGATCGAGTTTCTCTCTTCGTGTCATTCTGGTACAAGTTAAGCTTGAATTGTAGAGATTTTCTTCCCCCAGAACTTTGCAAGCTCTTTTAGACGTTTCCCAGGAAACTCTAATCTGGCCTTATTCTTCTAGAGTGTAACCAGTGGTTTGCACCTTGTTGTGTATGCACATTGATGAAGGCACCTTTTGATCGAAGAACTCCTTGACACCATTCTTGACTTGGTTAAATGTCATGACGTTGTTTTTACTTAACCATGGAAATAATTCTGCAATCAATCACATTCGTGTTCCTCTTTGATGTTTCGGGCCTTTTATTGTTGCTGAGCTGGTCAGTGCTTTCAATGTTTGTAAAAATGGACCAGATTATTGATTGTGCCACTTTAATACGTTGATTTTGTTTTTTCTAATCATGACCTACCTCTCTTGTACTGACATGTCTTTTGAGCTCATGTTGACATTTCCACTTGGAAGCAGCCAAAGATCTTTTATCTGCTTAATTTGTAATTAAATAATGAGAGCCCCTGGCTATGAAACTTCTTGTTAGTCATTTGTCTTAACACTTTTGAGCCTCTAAAAATGGCGGACTGTGCATACAAATGTCTGTAATTCCTAAATAGTTAATGCAATGTGTTTTGTGAAATCCCTTGAAAGTCGCCACTTCAACCAAATCTTGATTGTTTGATTTAAAATGGTCAGTGATGAGCCTAAGTATAAGTATAGTTACTACATAAAAGAAGAATATAGCCACTGTGACATTACCCTTTGTTTTCCAGACTACTGTTTGGCAATATTTGTATGAGAACTAACTTTATTAACTGTCCTAATATATATAAAATAATGATAGAATTGTATTATTTCTTCTCAAGTTGTCTCTTAGTACAGTTAACCACAGTGTAAGCCATACTATGTCAGATAATTGCATCAAAAATGACCCAGAATGCACCGCTATGAGACAAAGCTTCATTCAGTGAGTGTAACCAGCTGAGCTGGAGGTCCTCACCCATAGACACCTGTTTAAACACCTGTTTTAGCACACATTATTGTCATCAGGTTTAATCATTAATGCAGTTTAAACTATTCAGTTATATAAACATTTAGCTTGCTAACATAGCTCACATTAGGTTTTTCTCCATTATCCTGTGCACGCTTTACATGCTGCTTTATGTAGCTCATACCAGTGTGCAGAAGTTACATTGTGTCTGTTGTTGTCCGCAGCGGTGTGCAAGAGATCCTGCATAAATGGGAAATGTGTGGGACCGGACAAGTGTTCATGCTCCATGGGTTATAAAGGACCGCAGTGCAATGAAGGTGGAGTATCATTTACAAAATCGTTGTCTGTCTTATGTTTTTGATTTCTTAACCATTACCTGCGTCATTCTGCATCATTTACCACAAGGATTTCTATCTGCCGCTTGAATAATGTTTCATATTGACTCCAGATGTGAATGAGTGCGGTTTGCCGGAGAGGCCGTGTTCCCAGCGCTGCATGAATACGCACGGTAGCTATCGCTGTTACTGTGAACCTGGATACACACTCAGTGCAGATGGATACACCTGCACCAGTGAGTAATTTTCTGTGGAGGGGAATGCTTAAAATCCACATTAAGAAAAGCCTGCGTGCTGGCAGATTATATTTCTCTCCGATCAGTTTTCTACAAAAAGCTTCCCACCGTCTTCATACCATAATAGGAGGTTAAAGTGTCCGAGGACTCAGCTTACACATCCTTTTAGCCTCGCATAAATGTTTATGGCTGAAATTTACAGTTTATATTATGGAAAGTGATATCATAACAAACCTTGGCGGTGACAGGGTCAAGAGCAAAGAGCATAAATTAGTGATTCATGTAAGATTTTAGTTTTTAAGGAGCATTCAGTTATCGTTTCTGTTTACAGCTTCATTACTGGTCTGAGTGTTGCAGAGCATGCGCTCGTGTACTGTGTGGTGGCATGACAGTGTGTGTGACCCTCTGACCGATCCTCAGCCAGTGTTTCCCTGTCTGTCTTCCAGGAGAGGCTGCATGTTCCTCCCTGCACTGCCAGTTTGGTTGCCAGATGGAGAGAGGGGGAGCGCCGCGCTGTCTGTGTCCCCCCGGCCTCCACCTGGCTGCTGACAACAAGACCTGTGAAGGTAGTGCCTCCTTAGAAACACCCTCAGTATGTCACTCCGTTTAGATTCTAACCCGATAATCAGACCGGTAACTGTTCAAATCTGTATTTTTTTTATTTTTTATTTACCCATGCAGTAAATATCATCAACAGGTCTTTACAGAATGTCTCTTAATCACACTGCTACTCTAGAAAAATATGTTTGATTCATTAACAATTATACACCTACTTCTAATCGTTCTTTCCTCAGCAAA